AGGCAGGGAAAACATTAAATATTTTATATCCAAAACTAATACATCTTACATGTTTAGCGCATGGTTTTCATCGTGTGGCAGAGACAATCAGAGCAGAATACCCTATCGTCGATTCTCTCATAGCTAATGTAAAAAAAATGTTTTTGAAAGCTCCTAGTCGTACCACGATTTTTAAAGAATTATACCCTGATCTTTCTCTACCACCCGAGCCCATAATTACCAGGTGGGGCACATGGTTGCTAGCTGCTCAATATTATTGTGAACGCTTTTCGAAAATACAAGAAATTATTTCAAAATTAGATCCAGAAACTTCTATCGCTATTGGAAAAGCTCAAAATATTATGGAAAATGAACCATTAAAAAATAATTTAATTTTCATCTCAGTGAATTTCAGTTTTATTGCACATACAATTATTACAAAATTAGAAACAAAAAATACGTCCTTAAATGATAGTATGCAAATTGTTGAATCAGCGATTGAAAAATTAAAACTCGTAAGCGGACCAATAAGAGATTTTGTAAAAAAGAAAATTCATACAGTTACAGAAAAAATCCGGCTATATTGATTTTAAAACAATCAAAGACATAATGAGTGGCAGACACACTTCTAAAAATTTGGAATCTTCGCCTTCTGATATTATGCGCTTCAAATAAGCTCCAATTACATCGGTTTATGTGGAACGATCATTTAGCCGTTTTAAAAATATTTTGAGACCTAACATTCGGAAATTTAAAAGAAATTGTAATAATTCAATGCAACAAATCATTTTGATAATTTAATAATTTTAATAAGTAATAATTTTAATTGTATTTTTTTTTTAAATTTAATTAAATTTGTTTCCCACATATTTGGATGTTTTTATTACATATTTTATAAATTATACTTCCATATATTATATGTACATATTTTTGTATTTTTATTACATATAAATCCGTTCCCTAGTAATAACAGTTAATAGGTAGGTAATTATTAATATTTTGTATTTGATATAACAACTATTATTATACAACTATATAATATTTAATAGTAATTACTAATTAGACTGCATTAAATATTAATATTTACACAAAATAGGTTCAATGTATTAAAATAAATGTATATTATAATACATAATATATTTGGTATATATTATATAAATATATATATTTATGTATGAACCAACTTTGAAACTTTTTTTTTACTTTTTTCACTTTTTCAACATCTTGATATGTAAAATATCTTGTATGTAACAAAAATATCAGTCAACATATCTGTTTTATGTACTTCACATGGGAATGTTAGTTTATTGACATTTGTTTGAAAGAATTCCTCATACGTGTCTTCAAATGGATTAAGGGATCCCTTTTGCGGGGTAACCCCATACTACTCCACTCCTCCCATCTAAACTTAAAATACTTATAACTCATAAACTACTCATCCTAAGTTCGATTTTTATGTATCAAAATACTTAGAAAAATATTCTGCTTTGGAATATGAAATTAAAACTATGCTGTCATTCAAAAAAGTAAAAAACTTAAAAAATTATAAAGATAAAAAATATTTAAAAATATAATTTTTTAATGAAAACGTTGTTTTTTTAACAACTTGAAACTATGTAAAAAAATATTTTCAAAAACATTAATACTTTTTGAGATAAAGAGTGTTTTACGCTTAATGAATCACCCTGTATGTTAACACATGCATGAAGATAGTTCACCAAATCAATTATGGATTTAATTGTTACTCTGAGACCTTCAGATGTCTGTTTAGTAAGAAAATCATCGTCTTTAATTATTTGCTTGATTAAATTCCTCTCAAAGTTGTTGAGAAACTCTAATGCATTCTTTAATACCTTTAAAAATACATAATTTGTAAATGATGTGTACCTATAGTCGAGCCAACGAGAGAGTACTATTGGGCGGCGACCAAAACTCATCCGTTCTCGAGCATTCCCACCACTAAGGCCCTCCTCACACGGTTATACTTAAAAGAAACTGCAATCGCCTAGATACTAGGAGACTAGGTGACTAGGCAGTTGCGCATGTGTGTTTGAATGGCGTCGTTCAGGCGGCGCTACTAAAGTCGCCGCGATTGATAAACTGACGCGACTTAGTCGAGTTGCTTGGTAATTTTTATTTCGTGTATAATAAAATATTATAACATGGATCAAAATTTTAATATAAAATTTGTGCAACAAATAGAAAAGTATCCCGAGCTATATAATTATACCTTAAAAAGCTACTCCAAAAGAAATATAACGGAAAAAGCTTGGAGTGAAGTAGCCACAGAAGTTAAGCTCACAGGTAAGGCCGAGAATATTCGAGTATTATCACAATAATAATAATAATAATATGTATAATAATTGATTCTAAGTACATGGCTATAAAGAATTTATTATTTATAATATCTTTCTATATAAAAATGGAGACAAAAAATTCGAAATAGCATCAGTTGAGAACGGCTTGGCCGATTTTGCTCAAATTTTTTTTTAATGATAGAGAATGTCGGTGAGCGGGCTTATAGCATATATTATGGACCTAACTCATATTAGTTAGAGATTTAGAGACAAAAACTGAGTTACACCGGTGGCGCCCTCTAGCTGATAAAAATAAAAATAAAAATATAATATAAATAATAATAAAAATCGAAAAAAAATTAATATTTTTTTATATTCTGGTTGATATACATTTTTTATTATAGACACTTATAACTTTAGAGTAAACAAATATAATAGTTGGCACATTATTAATTTTATTTTGAAACATTATCGTTTTATGTTATCTATGAACTTTTTCAATCAATCCGATTTGTCTCAATTTTTTTTTAAGATGTTCGTAATTAATAGGTGAAGGTTTTTAGGAAACAAAATTTTTAAAAAGTCCACTGAATAATTAGAAAAACTGCAATAACTATTTATTGATGTCTGGGATTTGAACTCGATACCGTTGTCTTTATTTACTCTATGATGTATTATATTATATTGGTTGCTATTGGTTAATAAGGCATGTTTGTTGATTTGTATTATTATTTTTTGTCAATATATCTTATATATAAATGAATGATGGTGTGTAGACCTATGGGAAGAAGATACGCCAATTTAAAAAGGGTTAAATTTGGTTTTTTTTATTCATCGGATTTTAGTACGGTGAGGTCAGGTTGGATTTATAGGTAGGTTGAATTAAGTAAAAACGTCAAACTTGGTATAACTTTGGTACTTTTTGAGTTAAATCATACACTTACGTACAAACAGCACGGGGTCCGCGATCTACCGCAGGTAAATTACCTATCTGATAATGTACTGCTGCAATTCAGAATTTTTATTCCGGGCAACAGAAAAGTTAAGATCAATCTAGAACATCATACACCGAATATTAAATAACGCATTGAACAATGTTTGAGTCATATAGAGTTGGTACATTTAACGGGAAACGAAGTGCACGGGATCAGCTAGTTAATTATAATTTTGTTTATATATTTTAATAGGTATATTATTATGATTAGGGCCAGAATTTATATACAAATGCATATTCTTCTACAATTCACGTAGAATAATAATTTTGATTATAAATGTCAACGTTTCATGTATAGATTATATGGTTAATTTTTATTGCGTATTTTTGCATATTTCAATGAAAATGCATATTAATTGCATATTTCTTTATAGTTTCATAAATATTGCATATTCTACAATAATAACAATAATCATTATAATTCTATCTTTGCTCATTAAAGTCATATTTACGTCTGTACAAATACCTACTGTTGATTGTAAATAACCCATGATAATGTACAATGTACAGCGATAAACGCATGACTCAAAAATTAAATTAACTTAACTAAATGACAATGATAATTAACTATAAAAAGTTAAGTTACAACAATAAACATTTTAACTGAATAAGTTAATAAGTTAAAAACAAAAATAATTAACTAGTTAAGTTAAAAAGTTAAAAAAAATTAACTTTTTAACTTAACTTTAACTTTTTAACAAGTTAATGCCCACCTTTGAATTCATTCCAAAAGCACATTCCACAGTTTTCCTATCTCGGCTTAGTCTGTAGTTAAAAATTCTTTTGACATTATCAAGAGTTCTCTGTGGGTATGGTCGCAACAAATATGGTGTCAATTGAAAAGCTTCGTCGCCGACAAAGTAGAAAGGAAAATTATAATTATTTAAATCATCTATTAATTTTGAAGTGAATGGTATATTTAATCTTCCAGTTGTAATCCACTTCTTAATTGTTGATGCTCGAAATATTCCGCCATCACTATTTCTACTAGCATAGCCAGTTTCGATAGTAGTGAAAAAACCATCTGCATCACTACATGCTTATAATACTATCGAATGATACATTTTATAGTTGAAATTACTTGATCCACTGCCTGGTAATTTTTCGATTCGTATGTGCTTACCGTCCAATGCACCCAAACAGTTTGGTAAATTCCAGAGTGAATAGAAACGGTGAGCTATTAATTTCCAGTTTTCTTCAGTTGGTGTAGGCATATAAGAATCTTTTAATAATTCCCAGATCAATTTTGTCATTTCACGTATTATGTATATAACTGTACTTTCTCCTCTAGCAAAGTATAATGCAAGTGATACAAAAGTACCTGCAAACAATTTATTACATTTTAACACTTATCATCCAGCTACGCAAGCTAAGTAAAAAAAAATAAGAGCCGTAGCGCACGACCCAATTTTATTTTGACTTTCAGGTAGAGATTTTTTTTTTTGATAAAATTAGACAAAAACAATATTTTATGAATTTCTAACACAAATAAATTTGCAAATTTTTGTGATTTTACGTATTTTGTTAAAATTCGAACCTTAAATGCGTTGACGGAGTATTTTTGTTGGGATATACTATGTTTACAGACATTTTTTATTAAATGAATAATTAAAACTCAGCGTCAATTATTTTAGACTTTTTATTATTTAAATATTAATTATTATTGATATTTTATAGTAAACGAGTGTAAAGAAAAATTTAAGAACCTCCGTTCCGTATTTGTCCGTCATATGAAATCCCCTGCCAGTGGTTCCAGTTCCAAAAGTAAAAGACCTTATTATTTGACAGAATTCATGCAATTTGCGCTTCCCTTCATAAGAGCATTGGGTACGCCAGTTGGAAATTTATCTGATTGCCCTCAACAAAGTCCAACTGAGCTAGCACAAGATTCTGAAGATCAGACACAAAATGAAGTATACAATGACGAAGAAAATGAAGATTTTCAACTATCACATGTAGATAACGATCTGTCACCACCAAACTGTCCTACCCAACTACCTTCATGTCCAATACAAGTACAACAAGACAATGTTTCTAATAAAAAATCGTTAAGTGACACATATAAAATACCTCCAACTCCGAGGAAAGGAAAATTTCAGAAGCGAGCAAATACTGATGTAGACAAATCCTTTATGGAATACTTAAATATGAAAAAAAAAAAAAAATAGAAACAACTCCTAATGAGTGCAACCAACAAAAAAAAATGTTTCTTTTGAGTTTGCTACCCGAGATTGAACCCATGACAAACGCACAAATGAGTTCATTTAGGCGTAGAGTTCTGCAGCTTATTGATGATATAATGAATCCAGCTCCATACCACCAACTTATCTACATACACAAACAAGCTCTCTTACGTCATCACATTCACCACTAACTAGTACAAGTACGGATCATTCTCCTCAGAGTAATTCTACCTTCAACAACCCAATGTCAGTAGAAGAGATACAGCATAATGACACAGAAAGTTTATACGACCAAGTCGTTCGTGATGCTTTGACCACCGATAATACAGTAACATACTATGAAAAATACTACCTAATGCGCATTCCACTATTAATATTAATTTTAAAATATATTATTAAACATTACTCATTATATAAAATAATAAAATTGTATTTAAAGGCAATATATAAAAAAAATACATAATTTAAATATTATTCTTACCTTAGTGTTATCAATAGTCTTTCTTCCGGGCACACACATTCCCTCATATTAGTATCTGTGTAATGAAGAGCAGGACAAACAATTTCTTTTAATTGAAGGTAAGTTTCTTTTCTCATTCTGTAGAATGCAAGAAATCGGGAGTCACTTTCCTGTAATTCCTTAGCAGCAACAAATAGTCTGCAGTTAACATTTTTTTCAATATAAGGATTGATCCAACATTTTCTTCTGCGTTTGTTTAAGTGGTGTTTATAGTATTGATAAAGAATAATTTCTTCATCGCTACTCGAATCACTACTAGACATTATAAAAAATGTATTTATTTTAATTTATTTATTGTACACATATAATAAGGAAAACTAAACTGTACTGTCGAAATAATAGGGCGACACTAGTTTAAAAAACTAGAAACAAAAATTTAGTATACTATGTGTGAAGATAACCGGCAACTGTAGTTGCCTAGTCACCCAGTCTCCTAGTGCCTAGGCAATTGCAGTTTCTTTTGAGTATCCCCGTGTGAGGAGGGCCTAGAACTCCCAAACTGCTGGCCGCCGTCAACGCCACACCGATGTCGCCACCATCGCCGACGCTGCTGCCACCACCGTCGCCGCCGCAGACCGGGAAACGGTGACAGTGTTTGTATACAGCGTGAACTATAATAGCATCTCCGATATTTTATACACAACATTTTTGTTTTTTCGCGCACCCCGGTGTTTTATACAGTTTTTACGTTTTTTATTTAACAATTGTTTAATAGTTTTACGTATAACAATAAGTACAATATGGACGCCGCAGCTGTGTCTCCTTCCAAAAAAAATCCATGTGGAAAAGTAAGTGTTTGTATTTATACTATTTTTTTTACTATTTATTTTTTTATTTTTGTTTATACTATTTTTTAAATTCTTATTTTTTTTTTAGTTCATCGGCACTGGTCAAAGGAAAATTATTGTCAATTTATATAAGAAAATAGTTAAACACCAGCTTGAAAATCCTGACAGCCCTCGAATGACCTTAAGAGATATGATCGTCGATATTTCAAAATCTTCGGGTATTGGACAGCGGTCAGTTCAAAACATATAATCGAAGTATAAGAATCAAGGTACAATTACATCGACTAACAAGAAAAAAATTCGACCTACAATAATCGAAAAAATCGATGAATTCGATAAAAATGCAATAAGACAGAAAATACACAATTTTTGGAGGAACCGCGAAGTACCAACAGTCGTTAAAATGTTAATCGCCATTAATGAAGATGAAACACTTCCAAACATTAAGCGGTTGTCATTTCAAAAAGTGTTGAAGATTTACAATTTCAATACGTAAAAAAAAACGTAATAGAGCACTACTCGAAAGAGAAGATTTAATAACTTGGCGCCGAAGGTATTTGGTCAAAATAAAGCATTATAGAGAGCAAAACGGACCAATTTATTATTTGGACGAAACGTGGGTCAACGCATGCGAGACACACAGTAGAACGTGGACCGATACCACAATGAATTCATCACGAGATGCATTCCTCAAGGGCCTAACCACAGGACAAAAAGAACACTCGGGAAAAGGTAAGCGTCTCATCGTCTTACACATCGGGTCGACAGATGGTTTTGTCCCGGGGGGTCTTTTGTGTTTCGAATCAAAGACCAATTCTACGGACTACCATGACGAGATGAATGGCGATACATTCTATGAATGGTTTGTACGAATTCTACCGCTATTAAAAGAAAACGCCGTCATAGTGATGTATCACTCCGTGAAGAAATGCAAAATACCAACTATGTCCTGGAAAAAAAAGATATTATGTAACGGAGTAGCCATCACCACATAAAAACGGTCCTTTTCAGGACCACCAATCAGCGGACAGTATGCTAGCACAAGCCACACACACTAACGTTAGGGACAATAACTAAGCCCCAAGTAACAGCACAACAAAAACAATAAGAGTTACATATAGGGGAGAGTCAGACGAATCTAACGACACCCTCCCCAAGTCAATAACCCCAAAATTGAATAAACCACAGGACTTCCCGTACAACTAGTAAACACTACTATACACGGCGGAATCGAATAGTTTACTAGTCGGTACGGCAGACTGCTTATATACCGGACATTTCCACACCATCGACACAGTCTTCAATATCTCTTCATACCTTCAACAACTACAACAAAACGAAGAAACGAAGACCCGAAGACCCGAAGACCATCCAGCACAGCGATCCAGCTGAAACTACTAATTACACCGATACGGCGGCGAATACGTTCAACATCCGAGGCGGCAACCGACGAGCGCTGCGTTCCTGACCACCGCTACGAACGAAACCATCGACACAGCGACGAATACACTCGTTGTACGGGGCAGCAATCGACGACCACGACGTATCCGTATTACGCCACGGACAACATCATCACCGTAGCGGCGAAGCGCCTATTGTACGACGCGGCAACCGACGAGTGGCATACTCCCATTCACACCACGGACGGAATCAGTGGCGTTTCCTGACTTTCGGCGTTAGGAGTTAATCTGTGAGGAAAACAATTAGGAAAACCCCCCTTATGGGAAATAAATTCGTATCAACTATTAATAATCAACATATTATTAAAATTATTTATTATATATTATATTTTCGACGATCGGCATTGCAGTCTTGCAGTATAGTACCTATGGGCTACGACGTAAACAGGATAACGTGCAGCCGCGACGATCCCCACTAACGGTCCAAACACAGTGTATAAGCTATCCGGCTATCGCTAGAGTCGCTAGACTAGTGACTAGTGAGTAGTGGCTAGTCGTTAATTTCATTTTCAACGACTTGGTCTAGTATTAACATGGCACCGAAGTTATCCGAAAATATCACGACAAATTACGAATATGAGATATTAGATACCACAAGTCGTTGTTCGAATCATTAACGTCCTACACTGCTACACCCTACACAAACACAACATAATACAATATTATTCCGTAATCGGCGTCGTAGCTGCAGACGGCGCGGGCGCATGGTCGAGTTTAGAGCTTAAAATAGACAATAGTTTATTATTTGATATTATTATTTTTACATGACAATTATTTTAAGATTTTGTAAATACAATTATATAACCATGTAATATACTAATATGAATTACAAATTATTACAATATTACACACATGTATGACATCAATGTTTAGGGCGTTAACACACAACTTGCACACCCAGAGAAAACGCCACTGGACGGAATCATACGCACCGCGGCGAAGATACTCGTCATACGAGGCGGCAATCGACGGGCATACAGTTCCTGATTACCCCGTCGTCGACATAATAATATCGGCGAACACGCAAATCATCATCAGCGTTACGAACGCGTCCACGGTCGATCTATCAAAACGGTTCTTATCAGAACCAACAATCTAACCACCCACCCTCAGTGTGCCTGCTAAGGCATCACTGCGAGGCGTTATTACTCGAACACGACTTACCAAAGCCCGTGGGAGAGTGATTCCAACTCAATCCATTCATTGTTATATAATTACTCTTATATGAAGTTATAAATCCCCGACATTTGTAAATCACTTCGCACCTCTACAGGTCCGATACCGCCCGTTGCGACTCGCTTCTTTAAGCCAGTCGCTCGGCCCGGAAATTAAATACCTTCCCTTAAATATATAATATAATATATCTCAATAAATAAACGAAATTGTACATATAATATAGACACGCGTGCAATTATTTACGACCACGGGACGTCGGGAATCGACGGACCGTATCAATTATCAATTGGTTTGAAATGAAAGGTGAAATCGTTAACCATCCAATAGTCAAAAATGATTTAATAATAAGAGTTAAAAAAAATAAAAAACCAATACGACAAGTACGTAATAGACGAGTACGCAAAAGACAATGGCAGTGGCGGTTCTGGTAGTATTTTTTCGGTGAGGCAACCTATGTATCAACCCCCCCCCCCCCACCATACAAAATTAGAATTCACAATAAATGTAATTTAAAAACATACAAATAATTATAATTGTATGAATGCTAATAATATACTTGTTTCGTATAGTAATTAATATAGTAAGTGATAGATAGGTAATAAACAGAGCATTTTAAAATTTGGTAGTTCTGAAAAGGACCTTTTGAGTAGGCCAACAAAACAATTTTTGTATATAATGACTCCCACATAACCAAGAGTGTTGTTGATATAAATTTGGATTAAATGACCTACAGAATACCATACTTAGTTTCTTGTCAGGAGCCAAAGCTGACAAAATCGGAATAGGCTTACCCACTTTTAGCAAATCATTTTTACCATCAGAATGCCATCGTCGAAACGGCGTCTCCAACAACATAACTACCACGTCTGTCACTGGATACGTCATAACTCCAACAGTAATTAATTTAATAATGTTTATTACAAAAAACTGCAGCACTCGCACATATATTTTAAAGTAGACAAACCGGAACCACCGAAAAAGTGTAAGACACAACTACACAAGTGACTATTCGTACAAGACGTCAAGACAGAAATGACTAATGACAAATATAAAATTATAATCAATAGATATTACAACGGACAACGGTTTAATTAGGACTGTCCCGAGTCTCGATTGTAACAATAACTTTACTGATAAGTGATAATGTGTTTTTACGTTGAAATGCCGGCTGACTATATATTCCTGTATACCGAGTCTATTTTTAGTACATAAGGCGATGTTAGTCGAGCCTCACAATGATCATTGCGCATGCGCAACTCTAGTTATTTAATAGTCGCGTGCATTCGCGTACATACGCTTGTGTGTGTAATTCATGTACACAATAGTACATACTCTGAGGCGGAGTCGCGGAGTTGAACGGTGCCTAGTGCCTACTGATGTCATCGGAACATTGCCGCCGGTTGAAACACCAGCGTTTGTTTACGTAATAATTATTTCATACATTTCTTATCGGTTTATCACTATTTTTGGTAATAAATACTAAATGATAATATGATTTACCATTTACAATATAATAAATGATAATTCATATTGTTAAACTTTACAAAGAAGATTTTTTTCTCAAATAAAATCATAAAAACGTTAAAAATTATTATCGAAATATGTATATGATATTGGTGGGCCAAAAATTATACTTTAATAGTATTTTTTACTTAAAATTGTAGGTTAGGCGGCGCCTCACTTGCCTCACCCCCAAAACCGCCACTGTCACCGCCCTTGTCACAATGGCAAAATCGTATTGCGATTACCCCCATACCACTGCGAGCTAAACCCTATCGAGCTCGCGTGTTCTTCTGTAAAAAGCTATGTCCGGACACATAATAATACGTTTAAAATAAAGGATGTACTGGAGTTATTCAAAAAGGGCGTGGAACATGTGACAGCGGAAATGTGGACGAATTTTGTGGGACATGTCGTCAAGGAGGAAAAAAAGTTTTTGAACTTTGAACATATAACAGATGAAGTATTTGACGAACTTCCCGAAGTAGAAGGACGTCATATCATGACGATAACAGGTGATACGAGTTGTTCGGAATCAGACTTCGATTCGGATTATCATTATCATTATTATCATTCAAATATTTTTTTTATTATAATTTTTTTTTTTTTTTGTAATTTAATGATTTTGTTATGTGTATAAAAATTATGTAATGCACAATTAGACATTTTTGTTAAAATAAATAAATGCATAATTAAAATATTGATATTACACACACATTATTTGTATTGTTGCTGTATTTTAGGTACATAATAAGTTCGACACTACGGCAGACGCCAGCTGTTATTTTTTTTGGGTGGTGTGTTACTTGAGCCTGTGTATACAACCAGTGGTGGCGGCCGTGGAATTAGTCGACAGCCACCGTTTAGTGAGTGGGGGTATTTACGGCGGCAACTAGATTGTAGAGTGGGAGAAATTCGGGTACGAAACAGCAGAGCTCGATCATTTGGATGCGCGAAGGAATAGTACTCTCTCGTTGGCTTTAGTATAGTACAAACGACTCTAATTATATGTATTATGTATACATAAAATAAAAGATATCTAATCATATTTTGTACATATATGTATATTTAAATACTCCCCTATTCTACTACAAACATTAAACATGCAACACAAAGCAACACTTGTGTAAAACCTGTAAATCTTTACTATCTTTTCTTATCCCTTCTGCGGGAAATTTTCGATTAAGGGCATCAAACAAATTATTAATAAATAAAGTAAATTTAACTGTTTCTTCACTATGATTAAACCCAGGACATTTTTTACTTTTAAAAAACACTATGCCATCTGCCATTGACTTGCTGAAAACCTAAAATACAATCATAAAATTGAGTAGGGTAGGTTAGGTTTAATGTCAAAATTTATATAGGGGTTTCAAACAAATTACTTGCGAGGTATATTTCACTTTCATTTTAGAAAAATTGTCCAATTGAAAATGGTTTCTTGTTAGTTTTGGACAAACTCTGGTTATTGCTTTGTTATCGTTTTCAAATACATTTTCATATATTTTCCATTGAATTGGAGAGAGTGTGGGGCAAATCTTTAAATTAAGATCATAATATAAAGTTTTAATGAACACAATATTATTAAATTAATGCATATTGTATAATTTACTTGAAGAGTTTTTTTTATTATACAACCGATTTCTTATTGTTTTTAGTAAATGTGGCGCATCAGAAAACACAAACACTCTTCGGGTGTTGTCAAATGGATTCACAAATGAATTTTGAAGTTGATCTATTTTTCCACGTACACCCAAAACATTCCATAATGTTCTATTGGTAGATGCACCATCACTTGTTATCCCTAACACTTCTACACCTGCATTTTCAAGAAGCAGTATGGCTTTTGTTACTATTTTTGCCAGATCGATTCCTGTATAATTGGGTAATATTCACAACGTTTATTTATATTAATTAAAATTATAATCAATTATAATTAGGTACCTTTCACTGATCCTTTAGAAGTAAAAACTGCAATGGGTTGATGTAAATTCTCAGCTAAGCCTTGAATCATCAACACAAGTGCGTGATTAGCTTTTTCCAATGATTTATTTTCAAAATCATCTCCCAAGTCTTCTAAGCCATGGTATGTTAAGCTTCTTGAGTTCACACTTATATTTTCTCTTAAAAAAATGTCATCGTACATCAATATTACTTTTTTTTTCATATTTATTTTTCACGTCAAATTTTTTTTTTTAGAAGTTTGAAAAACTGTTCATCAAACCCACATCCAATCTTAACAGCTAATAGATGTTTTCTAAGGGTTGTTACGCAAGGTAAAGGTAGCAAATGCTGTTCCCTGAGAAACTTATACCCTCCTGGAGACCTATGATAATAAAACATATTATTATGTTTTATTTAAATTAATATTATTATGTTTACCTTATATGAAATAACAAGCATAAAAGCATCCAATTTTCATTGTAACATCTATTCTTAGAATTTTTTACTTTAGATGCTGCATAAATTTCTTTTACCATTTCACATTGACCCGGGGAAATATTTGATTTCATCAACAAATCATTAAGATTTTTTTCAGTTTTACTTTTCATTTCATTTTTCATTTGCTTTAATTGATTTTGTAATACTCCTTTTTTTATTTGTGTACGTTTATTTTTTTTTCTTATTATGTTAGTAGATTTTAAAAGACGTTGGTGAATTTTATTCTTATTAGGAGAGTAAAATGTTCTAATTGTTTTTTTATTAAGTAAATTTGTTCGTTTTTTTTTGTATTGAGTATACCAAACGTTTACAACAAGAACAAACATTGCAGTTGCTAAAATATTAAATTTAATGATAATATTTAATAATATAAACTATTGTATACGATTAATTTTATGATTAAATTGTATGCACTTTTTTATAAATAAATACCCACATGTTATAATATTATATATTTAGGTAGGTATATTAAACTTTACCGGTTGTCATCATATAGTACTATAAAACATTTATTATGCCGCCAATAACCATTAGACTCTATATACTGAGTTCCAAATGATACTCTTATATCAGGATAATTTGTGGAAGAAACAGCTCCTAGACAAAACTTAATTTCATCCAGAGTGTACAAATATAATTTTAAGTCTTCAATATTTTTTATAATAATATCTGGTAGTCCAATGTCTGATGGTGTAACTTCTTTATCATTTATTTGTAGAATTACCTTACAACCTAATTAAGTAAAATTAAATTGTTATTGTCTAAGAGGAGTGATCGTTTCATCATCCCTATAAATCCATAAAATACCCATTCTTAACTAATTTCTTCTTAAGCTTATTTATATATAAAATATACATTTATTAATTATTATATATCAAATTGAACAATTATTATTTATAAAATATTTTATACCTTCGGTTAAAACAAGTTGTTTTTCAATATGCCTTTATAGTTTGGTTTAAAAGCGCTTAATTTATGAAAAGAGATAACTGGAACATACTCTATGTATTCTATACTTCCATTGCAGTACCAGTTATTTGGTAAATGTATAGTTTCAATATTTTGGTAAATAAGTTGAAAAACAGAATTTACCATTGTTTCATCAATCTATAAAAATAATAAAACTTTCTAATTTGTACCTACAATTTAATTTTTGTAAAAAAAATTAATTTACTGCCCAACAAGAAAAATTGTTTTAAAAAGAGTTAAATTAAACTAGTTAGAACTTAAATTAAATGAGTTGTATGAGAAAGATCTAATGTGCTATCCAAGCTAGATGTGCATGCCTTATTTAATTCACAGACCTATTGTAAATTAAGTAATAGTATTTTATATTAATGTAGTATTATCTTTATAATTATATTACTATATTTAAAACTTAACTAACTTGTGTACTTTCCAAAGATTGTGCATAAATCATTTTTTTACGGGGAATAGGAATGGCTCCTTTTTTTAAATGAAGTCTTTTCAAACATATCTAAATATTATTAATATTACAAAAATATTATAATTTTAACGACTGATGAAAATTGAAAACGTTAATGTTGAAAATAAGTTTACCGTATACTTATTAGAGTCTTTACCAGACTCCCATTTACTGATGATATCAGAGTCTTCAAAATGGGTATCACAAATATGGTACCTTTTTTTAATAGTAAACCCCAATGCTTCTTCCCACTTTTTACTCATATCCTCATTTTGTGGTACTTTAAAAATTGTTTTGGATAGGGTATGAATTTCTCGTACACAACAATAGTTTGGCATATTATTTATGTTTGAAAAAAAAATGTATGTTTTATTAAAATAAGAAATACACAATTAAAATAAAATATGTACTACTCTATTACTATTAAATAGTAAGTAATGACTGATTAATGATTATAAATAGTCCACTAAATCATAAATACTCATTTATTTGAGGTAAAAAATACCAGTTATCAATAAACAATAATTATTATTATACATCAGTTTCATTTGAAAAAAAAAACCGGGATTTTAAAAATAATATGACAACTTATGGTACACCACAAATTCCGCAATAAAAGTAATCTAGAGGTTTTTGATTAGAACATATCGTCGGTGGAAAGGCCAAGTGACGTAACCCTCAATTTTTCAAAAGTGAGGTTATTATTGAATATTATTCTTGACACATTAGTACACATCCTGGTCAAATATTATAACCTACAAATTAGTTTTTCTGGTACAAAATTGTATTTTTCTTCATCTCAAATGACGCAACCCTCATAAACAAAATAATGCCAATGAACGTAAGCCATAACACCACCAACCAGAATTGGAACAATTTACAATTTATTCCAGTCAAGTTATGTAAGCATCGACGTAAGCCTCAGTATTTAAGCCAAATATCACATTTTTACCAGCCAAATAACGTAACCCAACCAAATATGAAATGTGTTGCGTCCCAACTGACGTCGATATATACATCAACGTGGAAATGAATACTTGATGCAATAGGTTATTATGAGTATTTATTTAAGTACAAAATTACAATGTATAAAGCTTATGTAGAGAGGTGAGCGGTGTTACGACCTGACTCTGAATTGTTACTAAGATTTTGAGTGGTGTTACGACCTGCCTCCAAAATGATACTAAGACTGTGAGTGGTTTTACGACCTGCCTCCAAGTGTCTTGAGTATCCCTAACCGTCTGACGAGCTCTTGTCCTGGGCTGGTATTTATATGATCGAGTCCTTTGGAGTGGGTGGTCATAGTAGTGGCAAAATTCGGTCATGAGACAGAGTCCTGGTCTCGTACTTGGTATGCTGGTCGACTCGTATCCTTCGTATGGGTGTTTAGCTTTCCCGAGGAGATACGTGTGACGACGCTTGTATAGCTTAATTACTATGTTTTTATATACTACTTTTAATATACTATGTTTTTGCAATGATCTAAGCATGTTATAATATACTAATTGCCTTATTAGCTATATCGTCAATACTACTAGAAACGTGCCTTACATTGTACATAGTTAATATATTAATAGGTACGTAACAAATGTGAAACCGTGTTTGTCGTTGCAATCATGGTTTAAATAAACAACCATGGTTGTATTAAAATTAATATAATTGATTATAGCATTATTATTGTTACCACATTGGGTTTATCAAACATTGTGTGAAGGCAGACACAATATTCTTACCGTCATCAGTCACCACGGCGGCACCGCCAAGACAAAAGAATTTTACCGCCACCACTACTAAGTGTTATCATTTTGATAATCACAATAACACATTCCACATTCGCAAATCATACTAATTGTAATTAAAATATTCTGCGTTTTGTTTCTTGTTAGTTATTTTCTTATTTAAGTATATTGCATTACATGTTATTTAGTACCTATTATTTACCATGCAAAGAAACAGAGTTATGAGAATGATCAGTTCCATTCAAGAACCTACCATCGAAAAAAAAAAGCCCGTTTTGTTGAAGCACTAACGTAGTAGATAATGTTAATATTATAATTAATGATAATGATGATAATAATCGGATGAACTACGTGAAAAATTGGTTGTCTACAATTCCTAGTATTAATGAAAGTACAGAAGTTGAAATTTTACAAAACGAACTTGAGTTTAATCATGACCAAATGTATGACAATATTGCCAATATTAATAGTGATAATTGCATTGTGATTAATGTCCCCCCAGACAATAATTATAATATTAATATTAATGCTAGTGTAGATAATATTAACAAGGATCTCATAGATAATAATGATGATCTAATAAATAATAATAATATTATTAATCTAAGAGATGAAGAAATTCAAGGTTTTATAATTGAAGAGTGTGTTTTTAATCCTACTAATAATACAAATATTGAAAACTCTACATCAGTAGAAATGAGTGATGACAAGTTGAATGAGCCAACTGAAGCATCAAAAATAGGAGAAAATGGGTATAGAGTAAAAAAGCGAATTAACCAACGAAAAACAAACTCATTTCTAAGAATATCTGGAAAACCTTATTACTCTAGGAAAGGTGATATGGTTTAGAATAAGTCAATTCAACCAAATTATCCTAATTATGGTTACGGTTCTACATGCAAACACATAAAATATTAGGTACAAGAAAAACGTAACAAATATCACAAAATTACAAGAGATACAAATTAAAGTAGTTTGAATCATACTAAGGAATTCCCACACTTAGGGAAGCGGCTTAATACCTAAGTCTTGATCAGTGGCGTATTTACGGGGGGGGGATATGGGGGTCATATCCCCCCCTTAACCTTATTTAATTTCATTTCTTTTAAAACCATGAATAAAACGATATTTTGAATATTTTGATAGTTGTATGAACATTGAACAACTAATGAACTAACTTAACCTATGAATGAAAATAATTCAAAATATATTTTAAACATAGATATCAATGATTTTAAAACATTTCCTACTTTGCCGATTTCGATGATAAGAAAGAGGCGGCTATCTAGTTGTTGAATATAATATTGTTACCACGGTCTTAGATTGTTACTATTGTTCGGTGATATACTGATATTTTCTTATCTTAAGATAAATTCAGAGCTGATAATAGACGAGAAACGCTTATCAATATAAAACTGAATTAATTTTACTGTTTGAATTTTGAAAGTGTTAAAGTGAAAATACTGAAAATTACTAGTTAATCTTGAATATAATATAACGTACCTATAATTAAATCTATAGTAAATTGTTATCATGGACACGATTAATACAGGTAAAAAACAATCTATTTTAAACTATTTTAAAAGAAAAGCATCTACTTCACCTAGTCAAAATAGTGAATCTGGTAAGACAAATAAAGTTCTTGTCACTTCCTGCCCTGTTACTAATAATGAAAATCTGGATGAAAAAAAAAGGATTGTGATGTAAGTTTATTGTGTTATATTAATTTTATTTTTTAAGTGATAAAACTATAGTAATTGTACATTTGTACAGCTTACTGCTTATAAGTTATAATATACATCAAAATATGTTAAATATTATTTTTATTTTGAAGATTGAAACCAATTGCACGATAAATTCTAATATTCAGCTGCTTCCGCAAATTAATGATATTGCTTTATTTATTAATCGTAGCTTAAATGACGAAGAAAAGCTATTAGTAAGTTACTAGCCATAAAATATATTTCAATTTTTATTAATAATGACAATTAGTGTAAAATGTATCATTAAATGACACACACACACTTGCTTGCTTGTAGCTATATTATATAATTAGTAACTACATACCTACCTAACTAGGACTATGAAATATTAAACTGTATGTTTATAATTGCACACATTTATTTATAGTGTATAACCTAGGTTATATAAATGTCACACCTGATGAGGTACTCAATATACTTTCGTTGTCCTCAAGAAAATTGGACTTTGTTTTATAGTAAAAAAAACAAATTTTTTTTACACATTACAACATGTACCTATATGCCATATATTAATATGATTAAATGTGTATATACTAAATATGTCTTAAAATCTTTATATCCCCCCCCCGTGAAAAATTCCTATATACGCTACTGGTCTCGATATTGAAGCATGATAAGTTTCGATGTAATTATTGGTCCTTATGTCTTGGCTATAAACAGTTATTGCCGACAGTCCTATTGTGCTAAACCAATATGCCCAAACATAGTTAACACGTTCAATGCCATTGTCGACGGGTAGTCGGTAACATTGCCCGGGTCGCCTTTGTCGACAAACATAGTGTTCACTTTGATGGTTAATAATTTTTACTGGCTACGGGATAACGGTCTGAAATTTTTTGTAGGCCATCAGGTTCCTTCTTACGAATCTAACGATACCATTGGTTTTTAATTTTGTTTATTTTTAGTTTGGATATTTATTTTTCCCCGAAATCACGACGACGTTCATCGCCGATAATAATTGTGTACCGTATTATTATAATTCTGTCTCAATTTGATATAATAAATGGTATAAATAACATTCCCAACACTAACATATTCATACAAATTATTTTACGCTGTATACACCGTGTTCCACAGAATACAGGGTGATTCGAAAAATATAAAACTATTTTTATTACGCAATGAAAATTATTTTTAATTATGAAATATTTATAAATAAAATAAGATTATTATTTTTTTATTTTTTCTGTGGCTATTCTAGTCGTAAACGAACCATTCGTGCATACACGTCACGTAAAATACTTTATTCTTATTTTATACACGAATGTAAAATATACGAAATGTAAAATAATATTATACTTGTCCTGATTACGATTATATTTTTACGTAAAATACTAAATTTATTTTGTTTTTCGACTGTTTGAATATTTTTTCGTGTGATCTTACTGATTGGTAATTATATTGTTATAAGTATCTTTTTTCATTATATTTTTATTATTTTTATTTTATAAACTTACAAATGTATATCTATTAGAACAGTTTTGCAATCAATACAATTATAAAATGAATTCGCGTCCTGGATCTTCACGATTACCTACGTAAAAAAACTTCAAAAAATTCACCACCATCTAAAAAAAAATGTCTAACCGATGAACAAGTGTCTGATTTATTTGATGTGCCACTATTGTCCGATGAAGATTTTGATTTGAGTTCTGAAACAAACTTGGGTGAAGGAGATTCTGGTGACGAAGATGGTGTAAATGACTTTGTTATAGAACAAGTAAGTCCACTCTTATCAGACGAGGAAAATGAAAATGTAGTTATAAGTCCGACACCGCGCAATAATATACCTTCTACCAGTAGAGCCAGGGCAACTAGCCAGGCACGTAGTAATAG